AGCGAGGCGCCGGCCGGGGTGCGGCGCTGAGACTTGGGCAGGCGACGGGAGCCACACGCCGCGCGCACCACCATCTTCGCTAGGCGCCCCGCCCGGCCAAACCGGTCGGAGCGCCCCGCCCTGCCAGACGGGCCGCCGGGAAGGCGAGTCCCTGGCGTTGGGTTCCGACCCACAGCCACGCGGCCCAAACTACTATTCCCAGGGGGCTGTGCGCGCATATGCGCGCTGGCCGCAGAGCACCTTGGGAATTGTAGTCTTCTCCCGTGACCCTTAAGCCCGCGACGCTCTAGCTGGACGATGCACCCACAATGCTCTGTGTCCCCCGCACCCCCGCCACATGCCAACGCGAACGATCGTTAGCTCTGAAGCTGAGCCGCGCACCGCGCAGGACTCGCGTCTCTGGGCACTTGCAGCCGGACACTGGCGACTGGATGGGCACGGGGCTTGGGACAACAAGGTGAACGGCCAGACCTCAGGCAGTGAAAGATAAAGTGACTTCATGATGAAAGCAAAGTACAGACAACAGTTTAGCAAGGACAGACCTTAGTCAAGATCTTGAGGCCCAGCTGCCCTTGGGTCGGTCTCCTTCCTGCGATGTCTCGATGTACCCAGTGATGTGTAGGAACAGGGCCCTGGGCTGGCAACCCTAACCATCTGGAACCTTGTCTCTCTCTCCCTGGGACTGCTTCCTTTTTAGGAGGGGTCAGGTGATCTCAGAGGGCCACCTGTTTTAAAATAGTGTAAATGTTTTCTTCTGGCCCCTTCCACTCCCCAGGGATCCCATGGGAAGTGAGGTGTGTGTGTAGGAGGACTGGCTAAGCTAAGTAGAGCAAGAGTGGGACAGAATCCTCAAGGACTAGGAAATGGCAGCAAGGACAAGAGGGTCACGGCAGGTGATTGCTGGCTTTATGCTGTTTCTTCAGGTCCAGGCTTAGGCCTGGGCTCCTGACAGGTGGGGCCCATCCAGCCCCGGTAACAGCGGCAGCGGAAGGACTCCCAAGCTCCAGGGCTGCCATCTGGCTGCAGGTGTAGAAAGGCTTCCAGTTGTCCTGGGTGTCGCCGGGCACAGCGCCCATGGCCATGACACCACTGGTTACTGCAGGCTATGGCCGCCCTGGTCACGTTAATTACATAGGGGCCCAGGGTGTCCACCAGGTAGTCATAGAGATGCCAGCACCTCTCCTGAGGAAAGGGGAGAGATGTATCAATGCGCCTGCTCCATGGCCCTGCCATGGTCTCTCCCCCACCCTTGGACCCCCAACACGGGCTGCATGGCGGGCTGGAGGGGGCAATATGATCACCTCAGAGCTGGAGATGCTCAGGTCCCCCCAGAGCACCACGCCGGCTGCCCCCAGTGCTGCGCTCACACCAATGGTCTGCACAAGGTCATCCTGGAGGCAGAGAGCTGCTAAGCCAGGGCTGAGCTGGCCAAATCCACCTAGGCCTACCTTCACCTTCCAGAAACTTCCTGGCTCATCGCCATGATCTGATTCTACCTCTAGAATAGGGCCCCTTGGCACTGAGCCTCTGAGTAGCTTCTCGGGCCCTCCAGTGAGAGAATGTCTCCCCTCAGATCAGGGCGCCAAAGGCTGGGCCTTTTCTTCCTAGGACAGGGCCATGCCTCCCCACTAGATACCAGCTTTCACTCACCTGGGACAGGAACCTCCCAGAGCTCTTGTGTGTGAGGCGGGCATAAGCCAGGACAGGCAGGGGATGTGGGTGCCCAGCACGGGCCACACGGAAGGCCTCCTCCAGGCGGTATCGAACAAACGCCTGGTAGTGAGCAGGCGGCAGCCGGGGTGGCAGGTAGATGCTAGGGAAGAGGGCGCTGGAAGCAGCCCAGAGCCAATGCAGTTGGTTGTTGCGGGCAAGGGTGGCTGCACGGCAGTGGCCTGTGTAATTGGAAGCTATACCGTGCCAGCCATTGCCACAGGCTGGGAAGTGATAGAAGCCCCAGAGCCCACGGGGCTGCAGTGCTTGGCCCAGCCGCAGTGTGCCCTCCATCAGTGCTCTGGCCGCTTGTTCAAAGCCAGTGTGGGCCTTACGGAGCTGCTCCTGGGGGTCCAGGTGGGGGAATACCTGCTGTGCCCAAGCCCATGAGGCTGCCCGATAGGCTCGGCGGTAGCCCCAGTTCCCAGCCCAGAGCGGACACCATTCCTCCCAGTCCAGCACTGCCAGGCCAGTAAAGCCGGGTATCAGGCTGCGATGGATCTGATAGGCAGCCCGTTCCAGGTGGCGGTCAAGGAGCACAGCCTGGGGGATGCCCCCATTGTGAGCTGTGCCCCTGGGCCCAAAGTAGGGATAGAGGCCGAGCTGGTTCTTGTAGAAGATGGTGATGTTCTGCCCATGGAAATGCTGTCCACGGTTGGCTGTGATGCTCAGGGCCTCTAGTGGCAGGTGCACACCAAAGCGGCCCCTGCAGCGTGCTGAGGGTATGTTCCACAGCACGGAGAAGGGGCGTTCAGGGGCCCCCTGGAGGGGCTGGCCACACCCCAGACACAGGGCCACCCCCAGCACCAGGGCCTCTCCTAGCTGCATGGTCATGCCCCAGGAATGGAAACCTGCAGGAGAGAGGGTGTGAACTTAGTCCATACATTCCACATAGCAGGGAAAGCTGGGAAAACTTCCCTAGCTCCTCCCCACAGGGGAGTGGGGAAAGCATGGTCCCCCAGGGGTCCCATAGGACTCTCAGAGCAGCCACACCCTAAGCTGGCCTGGGCTGCTCCGCTCTCATGTTTTCCATCCCTGACACCTCCCCCACCCATGGCTCTCACAGTCCTTTTCTTTCTTCTCCCATCTTTCCTCCCCCAAGAACACTCGCCCCCCACCTTTCCCACTCAGCATTCAGGTCTCTGCTGTGGAGTGAGGGCACAGGGTTCCCACAGTCCCAGTGTGGTTCTGGCCACTGTATGCCCGTTTGTCTCCCTATCTATCTGTCCGCTTGGGGCAAGATCCTATCTGTCTGCCTAGTTCCCCATTGCCTGTGCCTGGTCCGGGGCCTGACATACAGTAGGTGCTCAGTGAATAGTGATGAGTGAGTGAGTGTGGAAGGGAATAGACACCCTTTTTCCTGGGCTTGGCAGAGTGGGAGGGGCAAAGGGCAGGCATCCTTCCATCGATGGCCCCAGGGCCAAGGTGGATCTGGGGGATCCTGCAGGAATAGGGGACCTAAGATGAGGCTGGCAGGCGAGGGTAGGGGTCAACAAATAAACTGTCATAGCCACACCCAACAGAAGCATTTATTCAGCCACACTGGCAGCTCTGAGCCACAGCCTGGGAGCCATCTCCTGGTACCACTGGCAGTCAGGAAACTGCCCAGGCTAAAGCTGCCCCCAGGTGCCAGGGGCTGAGGCATCGCCAGTGGGCTGAGGCTGGGACTGTCCTGGGGAGTCCACTGAACCAGAAAGACAATGCCCTGCCCTAGGTGGCCCTTCAGATGTCCTTTTCCATCCAAAATATGGGGCATCCTCTCAGGTCATAGTATTGTGTCTCCAGCAGGCTTTGTGGAGGGGGCCCTGCTGAAGGTGAGGTGGTCAAGGGCTTAGGCAGGGGAGGGGGTGGCGGCAGTGATGGCCCTTTGGAGGCTCTTGGGGCAGCCTGGGCAGTCAGGCTAGGGGCCTTGCAGGGTGGCTGGAGGGAAGGAGCTCTGGGGAAGGCACTAAGCAGAGTGGCGGGCAGTTGTCGGCTGGTGAAGACCAGGCCCTGCACAGGCTCACCCAGCTGGTAGCCCAGGTGGGCATAGAAGGGCAGCTGGTCATGAGTGGTGAGGTGCAGCCGGCGGAAGCCCCGGGCCTGAGCAAAGACCTCGAGGCCCTCCATGAGGCAGCGGCCAAAGCCACGGCCCCTAAGGGCCCGGGCCACCACCACTGTCTCTACTAGGAGGCTCTGGGGCCGGTCTAGCACTCGTGACAGGCGGGCATGTCCCACCACAATGGGGGCTTTCCCGGGTGTGGGGTGGGGGCTCAGCAGCATCAGGCAGAGGGGGAAATTGTCTGAGGACTGGCCCAGTGAATGCAGGCGGGAGGCGCGGCTGCGGGGCCACTGCTCGTTGATGAGGTCAGCACAGGCGTCCAGGAGCTCCGGTCGGCAGTGCACAGGCTCGAGAGTCAGCTCAGCCCGGCTGGGGGCTGGGGTCTCCTCTGGCTGGTGTGTGGGATCCAAGGTCAGCTCAGTCAAGCCAGGAATGAGGGTCATCTCTGATGGCATGCAGAACAGGGTCAGCTCAGCTAGCCTGCTGCTCAGGGTCAGCTCTGGTTGGTGTGCAGGATCCTGGGTCAGCTGGGCCAGGTTGGATGTCAGGGTAAACTCTAGTTAGCAGGCAGGATCCAGAGTCAGCTCAGCTGGGCTGGTACTCAGGATCAGCTCCATCCAGTGTGTAGGGTCTAGGGTAGGGGTCAGCATGGCTGGGCCAGGGCTCAGAGTCAGCTCTGGCTTACATGGAAGATCCAGGCTCAGCTGAGTCAGGCTGGGAGCCAGGGTCATCTCCTGCTGGGCTGCAGGTAGCTCAGTGCCAGGCTGGGGGTTAAGGCCAAGGTCTCCAGGAAGTAGCATTTCCTCAGATCACAGGGTGTTTCTCCTGTGGACACCAGCCATGCTGGCCTGTGCCAGGAGGGAGGATGGGGTTGGGGTAGGGAAGAGCTGACAGAGTGCTAGGGGAGCCATGCATCCTGGAACAAGGGAGTGGCGGGCTGCACCTTGTTCCCATACTCACTTGATAGCACAGGTGAACTGGAGGCGACCTATACCTGGGGGAGCTTGCTCAGGTTGACAGCAGGGGGGATGGGTTCAGGGTGTCCTGCCCACACTGGATGGAAGCTGAGAGCCAAAGGCTGGGGCAGAACCCAGGAGCCCTGGCCCCAGCCTGCTCTGGCTACGACTTTGATCCAGCCCTACAGCATCTCGACTGGTGGGCCATCAGACAGAACGTGCAAAGCAGGCACAGTGAAGCCATTGCTTAAACCCATGCAAGGCTCCTTTCAGAAGCAACGCAGCTATCAGGAGCTCTTCTGCCCTCCCCACCCCTAAATTCCAGGTCACCATCTTGAACCACATGGGCCATGCCCACCACATAACTGATCCTGGGGTGCCACTCACTCACCCATCAGGCTGTTTTCCCCTCCCTGGAAGGTTTTCCTTGCCTGGGACACACAGCCCATGGTCCTCTCCCCAACACCACCCAGCTCAGGGAAGTTTTTTTTGTGTTGGTTTTTTTTTCTAGTGCTTACATTAACACAAATTTATTATCTTAATGGTTTGGGAAGACAGAAATCTGAAATGAGTCTCACTGTGCTAAAGTCAAGGTTATGAGGGCTGCTTCCTTCTGGAGGCTCTAGGAAAAAATCCATTTCCTTGCCTTTTTCCAGCTTCTAGAGGCAACCTGTTTTCTTTGGCTCATGGCCCCCTCTTCATCTTCAAAGCCAGCAATAGCATCTCTCCAACCTCTGCTTCCCTCATCACATCTCCTCTCTCAGGACACTTTGACTGGTCCTGGATCCAACTGTCCCCTCAGATGGGGCCCAGCAGCACTAGCAAGGGTCCTGGCTCACAGTCACACAGCAGTGTGGCTCCTGCAAGCCTGGTTCCCCATTGGCCTGAGTTTCATGGCCACTCTAGCTAGATAAGGACCATAGCTTCCTTCCTACATCCACAGGGCCTCCAACCGTCACCAGGATGGGGGCCCAGACCTCCTGCACCCAAACCCCATGGTTTGCCCATCCTGTCCCAAGCCCTGCTGCAGGAGGGTCTATGCTGGGGAAAATTATGGCAGTGGGGAGTGGGGAGGCATTGGTCCCCACCATTCTCACTTTCTCACCAGAGGGGACGTCTTGGCTCCCTTCCCCACCTGTCCAGGAAGGCCCTCTGAGCTTGAGGCCAATTTCACACTGGTCAGTAACTGGTAGACCCCCCTCCCCTCACGCCCATTCCACTCAGAAGGCTATAAGCCCCTCACCTGCAATCAGCCACCTCCGCAGCAGCCGCACCCCGTGACCAGGAGGGAAGATGCCCCAAGGTCTGCCTCTAGACCAGAAACCCCAGGCTTCCCCGCGGGTTTAACCCCTTCAGTACCAACCCAACCCACTGTGGGCGGGGTTCCTGGGTTCTCAGAGAGGCGGCACTGCCCCTCCTGTGCGTCGGTTTCCCTCTCCCTCCTAGTGGGCCACACACCGTGGAGTTTGGGGGGCGGGGGGCTTCGGGAACCCGACTCTGGGTGGGTGTGGCTCGGCATGCTCTGGGAAGGAACCATAGACACGGGGAGAGCGCGCGGGGCAGCAGAGCCACTCGACCTTATGGGGAGGAGCGGACAGAAGCACGGGGAGGGGGGCACAATGAGGATGGACACGCCGCGCGTGGGGAGGGGGCGGTACTGACATGTTGAAGCGGGGCTCCAGGATGCTCGGCGTCCCGGCTCTGCACAGGTCCGGTTCTCGCTCCGTC